TATATATATATTCAGAACAACAATAAAAAAAATGTCTTCATGGATTGTTGCTGGCACACGATTTGACTGCAGGAGTGATTATTAAAAAAGTTTCTGGTTTTCTTTGGACAGCTCAAACTTCAAAGCATCGGGCTGCTGGTATAAAACACGTCCAGAAAAGATGGCATGTACCTTGAAGCCTTCTGTAAGAAAGTCTACACTGAATGTCTGATTGGTGAAATGCTGTGCTGATAAGGTTCTGCCTTTTCCCTCTCCAGGTGGCTGCACCTTATTCATCACTCGGCCCCCTTTCAAACCTGGTATTTTTTGCACAACTTTCAGTTAAATGCCATACTTTTAGTGCTACAGAAGCTTCTAAAAGCATCTTGAAAGAATCTCACTAAGTAGAAACAACCGAGGTACCAATTCACCTGACATGCTTGTTTTTGGTCAGTATTCAGAAAAACAGAAAGAACATGAAAACTCCAGAAAGAAAGGCGATGGGAGGCAATCCTGCTGTGTCTAAAGAACTTAGCTGATGCGTGTGCAGGAAAAGAACTCATGCTAATGGATGCTAATGAAAATGTATTATTTCAGAATACTGAGTTGAACAAAGTAATTCAACTTTTCAAACCCCATTTTTCCTTTGTCATGTGGATGAGCTGTGTGTAATTAACATGTATATAAATCTGATTTTGCTCATAAAAGCATATAATCTCATTCTTTACTTTCAGATATGCAGTGTGCTTTATAGGGTGGGTGGGAGGGAGAGACAGAAAAAAAGTTCTTACCCTCATTGACTTCATCGCTCTCCTTGTCCACTTGAGCTTTCAGCACATAACGTTTAATCAGCCGCTTCATGATCTTCTACGAGGGGAAAAAGAAGAGAGGAAGATGAAGTCGAAGGAGCTCATCGAGGTGATATGGCAGTTCATTCTGTGTTTTGTCCCGAAAACAAACCGTCTCATCACATTTTATCAATAAACACAACATAATTCTGGTAGAGAACTGTGCTCCGTCTCAGAGAAGGAGTGAAAAATATTGACTATTGATTTGCGGCCAGTATTGCTGTGGCTGATGCCGAGGCTTGAGCTCTCAGCCTAGTGCACTCGATGCGGGTCGATACCCATTAGCACACAAATGACTTGGGTTTGATTAGGTGACATGTCGTTGTGGTGCTATAGTTTTCACGTTGTCTATAAAAACTCCCAGAAATGGGGAGTTTTAGGACACAAATGGAGCTGAAAAGATAAGTTTTACTCAGGGAAAAGATTAAAAGCAGAGTAAGAATGACTGTCTCATTCACAGAGAAATAATGTAGTTTGAGATCATGTGCAGAACGTCCGACCCTCAATCTCCCTCGATCTCATTCGAGGAAATGTAAGCCTCACTCTTTTGTTCTCCTTCCCTTTTTTGGCTTTTATTTTTAGTCGATGCCCTTCGATTCAAGCTAGTTAAATTCCTTCAGCCTTGTCATTTCTTGTCCTGTCTCACACGTCTTCCTCACCTCTGCTGCCCTTCCTTTCCTTCCTTCCATCACCATTCAGCCTCATCTCTGCCTTGATCCCTTTCTACTTTTGTTCATATTCCTCAGCCTCTTTGTCTTTTATACCTCAAGTTTCTGTCACATTTCCAATTCCCCTCTGCTTCATCAGTCAAAAGAAAAAAAAGAAAAAAAATTAGAAGTCAGCTTTTGATTCAGTCCTAGCCTCACCTGATATCTGGTTGGATGTTGTCTGGCTTTCCTTTGGACGAACTCTTCCCCTGATCGTGCGTAAGACCTAAAGCGTTCATCCTGCAACAGAGAGAATCAGACAGTTGAGTGAAATGGAAACATTTATGAAGGAGGCAGCAAAAACAAAGCGAATGTCAGTGGCTTTGTGTTTGTAACTCATGCTGATAAGTCCTCAAAGCGAGTCAGCGGCCTCACTTTCCTCAAGTCAATTTAAACTTAATAATCTGACTTCTGGGTGCCTTTCACATTCCTTGCTTTGTGTTGTGCCATTTTCACATTGTAGTGTTCTGAAACGATTTGCAGCTCTCATGTGAACACATGAAACCTGCTGTGGAAGCGCAAAAACCTCAAAGTCCTGGAAGATAATCAGTCTACCTGTTGACTCATGCACACGTTTGAAACAAAAGGGAATAAGAACAATAATACAGTATAACCTGAGTAAAACGGACATAATAATAAAAAGATATGACCAGAAGCTTAGCCATTTTTTTGGTAAATATTCACATTACAGCCATTAAAACTAATTAGTTTATCTTTCTGAGCCTCACTTTTCTTAAATGGGCAGAATTACACACCCCAAAAGACAAAAGAAATGAATCACTGGCTCAGAAAGACCCAACCATTAGTCCTAAATTTCACTTGACATTTTCAGTGCTTTACTACGGTCTAATGTGGGGTCTATGCATTGATTGCTTAACACAGTTGCTTGCCTCTGCCTCAGTTAAACTGTCAGAGCTGCAGAAGATTTTTAGGCACTCACAGAAGCAGCAGAGTGTAACCCATCTTGTCCTTATCCGAAACCTGCCTGGGCATTTCAGCAGACGCAGGCAGAAGCAATGACCTGACTAATAGCTGAGCTGAGGTGAGGCATTCCAGCTGAGGAGTCAGGCAGAGGAGACGCCTCGTGGACAAGGCCAAGGCTGGGATTGATTCTGTATTAAATGTTCTCTGCTGTTCGCTTCCCACAAGACTTCTTTTTTTTGTTTTTTATTATTTAAATGATTTCATTTAGAGAGCCGGGAGGAGCCTGTGAGGCTGAACAAAGCTCACTTTGCAACCCTGCATCTGAACCCTAAACCCGTCCACACGTCATTACAATGTTACAGTCTCTAAACAAACATTCAAAGTCGAGCATACTGACAACACAAATAAAAATTTAAAGGCAGCAATTAATGTATTTTTAACTGCCGCAACACAAGAAATCAAAAATCTTAAATAGCCAAGAAAAATCTGGCCCAACAGAAAATGTTTAATGAATCATTACATTATTAGTCAGTCACAGCAGAGGAGATTTACATAAATAAGGAAAATGTAGAGAAGTGTTTAGTCTGAAAATCAAACTGAATGAGAAGACAGAAAACCAAGCTACGAATTATGTTACAAGTGTTATATTTGATTCATCTGAACCAGATCTTCACCCTCACAGATTTGCTGATGGGGTTATGTGAGTGAGACTGCTCACGTGTGTTTTGGAGACCTGAAGAAGACCTGCGATCTTCAGGGTTTGAGCTCTGATCAACTGGAGCCAATGAATGACTGAATGGATCACTGACCTTGCCCTGCGAGTTCAGCATGCCCATCTCCACCTCACTGCGGTGAGGGCCATTGGCTTTGCAGAGGCATATGAGACAGGACTTGATGCGGAGCACCAAGTAGTAGAAGGACTTGGGGCTGGGAACCAGGTTGAACGGGGCGGGCAGAGTCCGACCCTCATCAAAGTAGGAGAGCCACAACTTGGCACGGGCAAACTTCCACTCGACATCAGCGTCTTCCTGCATAAATAAATAAATAAATAAATAAATAAATAAATAAATAAACAAGCACATGATGACTGAAGAAAACTAAAGAAGACACTTGAAGAACAAAATTCTGATTTTAGTTGATTGCAACTGTCAAGGACATCAAAATAGACAGTTGGAGATCATATTTTTTAGAATGTAAGCAGGAAAAAATGGATATTTACAATAAAACATCCTGTTTTGTAACCACTTTTTGTTGTAACCTGTTTTATTTCTATTTTTGATTTTGTCTGTCACTTCATTGAGCTTGTGCCATTTTTTAAAGCCACGCTCTAATTCTCCTGCAGGCACAAAGATGATCCTTGACAATCCTTATCGACGTGTTGACAACACCATGACCTTTCTCTATTGACTCATTACATACCTCTATCTCCTGGTACGAGCTGTTGATCATAGCAATGAGCATGTTGAGAAGAACCACCACCATGGTAACGTTATAAACCCCATACAGCACGTAGCCGATGTTCTCGATGAACTTGTGGTCATATTTTAGCACCACTGAGATCACTTCAGACAGCCCGAAGATAGACCAGAAAAGAGTTTTGAAACTTTCCTCCACCCTGTAAGAAAAAAGATAGAGAGAAATCGTACAAAACACTGAATAATCATGAAAAAAAAAACTGAGATGTYAACCAATCTGTCAAAACATGCCATATAAAATGTGAGATTCATGATAAAATAACCGAGTCATGTCCAGTTTTAACACTTATACTTATTTATGCCATTATCCCACACAAAACAAATTCACATCCTATCACACAGAACAGAGCATACTCAAAGAGGTAAAAGAAAAAAAAAACATTATTATACCTGAGCATCCAACAAATAAATTGATTTACTAAATTCAGATGACAAACAATTAATAGCTTGTCAAAAAAGTTCTTTGAACTATTTTAGTTTTGTAAAATAGACATCAATTCTTCTCTGGATTGATGTACAAACAGCTAGGTAACAGTGGACTGCTGCCATGTAGGGTTGGGTGGTATGTTGATATTGTGGTATACCTCACTACTGAAATATGGTGACGGCATTTTAAAGAAATGATGATGGTATATTAATCACGTGAGTTGATTAACCAAATTTCCACAAGGCTGCTATGAAAACTGGGATATCAACATTCTTGGCCCTTTCAGAAGAYGCCCAGTAACGTTACAGATGTGTGTTATGACCACCTCGGTCCATTCAGAAGACAAACGGAGTGGTGGGAGGGACAGACACCCTGGTTTGTTATGCCTCTGAACATCCGGGCAAGGTAGTCACTGGAACATCACTTACTGACTCCTTAAAAAGTGGGCCAGCATAGTACTGACATACACCTTCAGGGACTACCCTCACTGGTGGGCAGTGCTAATCCAAAAATTAGCTCTGCAATTTCTACAGTGCTTATGAAAATATTTGGGTCCACAACTTCAAAAGTGCTTTCACCATAGAAAAACTACCAGAAGCTTATTTTAAAGCAGAAGTTCAATTAGACAYTTACTAGCTGGCAATAAGTCATGTACAATATGTGCACAACACTGCCAACTAGTAGTGTATGTCCTCTTTTACAAGTTCTACTACTGCCGATAGCTGGGGATGTGATTTCCTGAAAGAGACCTTTGGCTCCTGGTGTAAAAATTAAAAAGTTGTTGAATGTGTTGAGGATTGCAAGTTCGGCTGCTTCTTTGTCTTTTTCTTTTGTTTTGTAGATTTTTCATTAAAGACACATCAATAAAGTAATTTTAAAACTGTTTATTGGAAAACTGAGGCTAGCATTCCAAGAACAATCTTTATTTGAGTGAGTATTAAAATTACCTGGATTACTCTTCTTTTTGCTGCGTGATTGCAAGTTCGGCTGCTTCTTTGTCTTTTTCTTTTGTTTGTTGTAGATTTTTCATCAAAGAAGCATCAATAAAGTAATTTTAAAACTGTTTATTGGAAAACTGAAGCGATGCATTCTGGGTACATGACGGATTTGATTTGTGATGGGAAACAAGTTTTTCATGTAGTTGCTCCAGTTGACCACTAGACGNGTAATTTTAAAACTGTTTATTGGAAAACTGAAGCGATGCATTCTGGGTACATGATGGATTTGATTTGTGACGGGAAACGAAAGCACGGAGTACAGGAAACTATCTTCACTTCAAAATAAGAGCATGGTCGGATTTTAAAGTTTTACATGTTGTTGCACCAGTTGACCACTTGATGTTAGTCTTCATCAGCATAACATCTTTAAATCATTTCTGCGTCCCTAACCCCATTGGCCGATTGCTTCGACCAATTACGTCAAGTATTGAGCTCCAGCATTTAAACTTTTTTAAAGGAGCTCCGATTGTAAAGTAAAATAAATCAACACATACAAAATTTTAGTATGGATTACAAACGTTAACTGTTTTTGCTGGGACAGGGACTTCTAAGCATTGCCTTCCTGCTACGTGAGCAGACACAAAGCATTGTGGGAAATGAGAACCATGACCGAAAGCAACAGTCAGCAAGGACGTATACCTTCCCAATASGTGCGTTTATCTGGGAGGGGTGTTGTTGGATAGATCACGTGTGTTGTGATTCATTGGCAGCCATACCTTCTGCTGTTCAAGATAATGATGACTGGTAGATAAAAATTATTAGTAGTACTGCATTTTGATTTTAGAAAGTGTGAATCTGCTCTTGAATTATAACAATTAGTAAGACCACTAAAGCACAAACAAAATACAGTATATAGGTCCACAATTAGCAAATTTGTGCTTTAGCGGGCTGGTGCACACCACTCCCTTTGGATTTAAACTTTGTGGGTTTTTTTGTGTGTTTTCAAGACCCAGGAGCACCTTGCTGCAGCTGAAAAAATTACCATGTTAAAATTCATGTTATTTTAACCTAAAATGTCATCTTTCTTTCTGTGAGATAATAAGAAAAAAACATTCTGCAATGTCACTCCTGCTGCTCTCATCAGCAGCATGAGACAGATACATAGTACCGTGGTATGAAAATCAGCAATAGATTCAAAGATTCAAGATTGMAAGTGTTTATTGTCATATGTACAGATGAAAACATGTTTTCCTGAGCAATGAAATTCTTACTTTGTCGTCCATTTTGAATGCCAAAAGATTACCATATTAACAAAAAAAACGAATCATCACCGAAAGGACACAAACAATGTTGATTAGATAAAAAGAAGAGACTAAACTAAGGATAATAACATCAGAAGTGAACAAAATAATAATGACAACAAGAAGGGAACTGTACAATCTGCTTTAAAGTGTAATGTGCAACAGATAACAGTCTGAAATGTGCAATAATAATAGTCAGAAGAATGTCATGTTCAGCTATTTAAGTGTCTGATGGCACTTGGGACAAATGAGTTCTTGTATCTGGAGGTTCTGCATGTCACACTTCTGTACCTCTGGCCGGAGGGCAGCGGTGTGAACAGTCGATGCTGGGGGTAGGTTGGGTCTTTGATGACTGAGGCTGCTCTCCTGTGGACCTTGCAGTGGTAGATGCTCTGCAAAGAGGGCAGTGAAGTCCCTGTGATCTTCTCAGCAGTTTTTTACCACTCTCTGCAGGCGTTTGCGGTCCATAATGGTGGCACTGTTGTACTAGGCTGTGATGCAGCTGGTCAAGATGCTCTCTACAATGCAGCTGTAAAAGTTCCTGAGGATCCTTGTTGACATGCCAAACTTCCTTAGTCTCCTCAGGAAGTAGTCTCTGTTGAGCCTTCTTGACCAGCTGTGTTGTGTTCTCAGTCCAGGTCAGGTTCTCAGTGAGGTGGACGCCCAGATATTTGAAGCTGCTCACCCTCTCAACATCAAGGTCTCCGATGTGCAGTGGTTGGTGCGGCCTCCTTTCCTTCCTCATGTCCACTATCAGCTCCTTTTTCCAATTCTGCCCAACCTTAATGCCACGTTGGAATTTTTTAGTGTTTTATGCTAAAGTACCTTCATAAACCTTTATAATGCTGTCAGTTTTGCATTTTGTGGTTATGTAAAATGGTTTGCATGCTCAAACTGTAGTAGCAGCAAGCTGTAGCACTTGCAGTGCAGCCTGAGGAACCTCCTTCAGGAATATTTCTGCTGGATTAATTCACTTGTCAATCCAGATTTCTCCAAACTGAGGTTGTTCAAAGAGCTATCTACAACAGGTAATATATTTATTGTTCATAACCTTCCTACAGATTCCCACTTTAAAAGCCCTGAACTCCCACTTTAAGTCTTTGTCCTGTGTCAGCTTTTATGCAAACCAGACAATGCAGTTAATGAAAACAAATGAYTTTAAACTCCTGTACATGTGACGTTTCAGAGACTGTATCTCCAAAGACGTAACACTTTTTAACCCAAGGTTAATTGCCTTCAAAGCAGTGYGCCTTTTCAGAAATTTGACATTAAAATACTTTTCTTAGATTAAAATAACCCTCTGAATTAAAATATTGACCCCTGTGGATAAAATAAAGGCAGCTCTTAAGCGCCACTTCCTTTGACATTTAAGAATGAAAAATCAAGCACCACTAATGCTTCATTCAAAAATAAACTTAAATAAAAATGCAAGGTAACTTTTATTTGAAAGGTATGAACTTGTGCCAGAGGGCTATGAATAAAAACTAGAGACAAGGTGAAATAGCAAAAGGCTGCATGACCTGCAAACACTGATTTCAAGGCACATCGCTGCAGTGAAATATCCCAAGAGTGGCAAGCATGGGGCTGTAGATGACGGGGGGAGTGGGGGGTGGTGTCACTGTGGGAGGAATGAGCGAGCTGGTTGGACTGCTATGGGGCCTGGAGGTAAGCGAGAACTGTGGGGAGAGAAAACGTGTAGGAAGTGTGAGTGTCTTCCAAATAAACTTCATCCACTGGCACGCAGGAAGCTTGGTGACGGCAGTGAGAGGAGAGGGGAAAAAAAAACACCCTCTGAAATGCATAAAAAATAAAGAGAGAAAGAAAAATGCACGCCCTTCTTCTTTAGCTCACACACAAGAAAACAGCAACTCCTTCGGGTGCTTCAGCACTTTTACCTTCCAAGAAGAAAGGCATAAAAACAGTTTTTTATTCTATTAGATCTGCAAGATTTTCTATATTTCTAGAAATATGCTCAGTCATTGTAAAAAAGTWAAAAAATACTCACTTTCTAGCAAAAAACTGGATTTCTAACCAACCAGTTTATTAGAATAACATGCAACATTTGGATAAAGACTTCATATTTTTAGTCATTTCTACATGATCATCAAAAATATCCAGAAATTGCTTCTAAATAAATAATTCAGTAAAATGTAAAGAAGGTTCAAAGAGCGAAGTTTGTTTTCAACCATTTCATTTGCCTCAAAAACCCTTTCACAGAGTGCTGTCCTTGCTGTAGGAGATGGACTGTAACTATGATTATAGCCATTTCCAAGAGATCCCAGTGGCAGTAATTGAGGCCATGGCTGAGCTTTGGTTGTAATGACTGTTGTATCGTGTCAGTGACACATTAGTTGTAATAGCTGTGGCACCCATTACACGCAGGTGTTGTTTGTGTACAGTCAGGCGTCATCACGGGACCACTGGTAGGAAGGTCACAGATATAAACCCAAAATCAAACATACAAGTGAACATTA